AGTTGCCACATCAAATATGAAAAGCATACGAACTCCAACGTTCGTAAATTTCTTGTTCGTGCTCCGATTGAAGCGATACTTGGTTCGTCGGAAAGCTCTTGAGCAGAGGAGTCACTTCAGATATCTGCTCAAGCCAAATAACATTCACACACACACTCAGAAAAACCAAACCGCACAAAACACAAATTCTTGCACACACTCACAACACGCATGCAACGCACGAACATATGATGGGAGGCAGACAGACGTGAATGCGAATGGTAGCATCACTCAACAGGCCCTGCCCCGTCGCCCGACGCCGCCCCGTCGCGGCCCTGTCGCGGCGCCGCCCCGGCCCTGCCCCGTCGCCCGCCGCGGCTTTGTCGCGGCCCCGTTGCGGCCCCGTCGCGGCCCCGCCCCGGCCCTGCCCCGACGCCTGTCGCGGCCTCGTCTCGGCCCCGTCGCGGCCCCGCCCCGGCCCTTTTCCCGTCGCCTGTCGAGGCGACCTGAGGGGCGACTTGGGGGGGCCCGCGCGTCGCCCCTTCTGCCGCCTGCTCTGGCGCCCGGGGGCAGGGCCGCGCCTCGGCCCCTCCTTTCTTCGTCGCGGCCCTGCCCCCCCCCCCCCCCCCCCCCCCCCCCCTCCTCCCTACCCGCCACCCCGCCCTACCCTGTCTTAGGGTTTGGGGGTGGCGAGTCGGGGGTGGCGGGTGTGTGGCATTCCCTGATCCTCCTCCTACTCCATCTCCCACTGCTGCAGCTGCCGCTGAGGGGGGTGGGTGTGTGGGAGCTGACGGAGTGGTGCTAGGGGTGTGGGTGTGTGGGAGCTGTCGGAGTGGTACTAAGGGGGAGGCGTGTGTGAGCAGTGCTAGAGGTGCTGCAGGGGGTGTGTCATAGGGGGGTGGGATAGTTTGGGGAGGTTGAAGGGGGGTGGCCGCCGTGAAGCCCGCAGCTCCAGTCGCCCGTGAGACCGTTGCGCCAGTAGCCCGTGAGCCCGTTGCGCCAGTCGCCCGTGAGCCCGTTGCTCCAGTCGCCCGTGAGTCCGTTGCTCCTGCCGCTCAGAGTTAGCCGCGGAGCCAGTTACTCCAGTAGCCCGTATGCCAGTTGCTTCAGTTGCCAGTGTGCCAGTTGCTCCAGTTGCCCGTGTGCCAGTTGCTCTAGTTGCGCCGTGTGCCAGCAGCTTCAGCTGCCGCCCACTACCTCCTCTCCACTCATAGTCCCTCCTCCTCCACACTTGCCCTCTGCGATAGCCTCTAGCTTTGCTTACATTTGTGAACTTTAAACTGTTGTTTCTTGTACTTGTGCTCAGAACTTGTGGTGACATTGTGATCCACCCTGAGCTTGCTTTGCTTTGCTTCTTGTGCTGATTACACCCCACTTTGGCTATGGGGGTGTGTCAGAATATGTTATATTTGTCTAGCCTGCAGTGGGGTACTCAATAGTGAGTACAGCCCAATCTAGGGTTTCCTATATGTATCCACCTGCTTGCTAGTCCAACCCTCTTCTTTTGCTTATTCTCTCTTGCCTGGCTAGCTAAACCCTAGCCATGGCTCCTCATACTGCCTACTATCTTAACACGCCTTAACCGTCTCGCGGCTTGTGACGACTGCCGTTCAGATATGTGGCTCACAGCTTGGACAGGTCGCGTCTGGAGGTGCATTTGGACAGGTCACGCCACGGAATGTTTTGGAAACTTTACTAGCGTAGCATCTTAACGTCATTTACTGATTGGCGTTTGTTCGAGGCGTGTAACCGGGCGCGCGCCATGCTAATAAAATACCGTATCACTTGTGAAGTCGGTATCGTCACGGAAAACGAATACCAGCGTCCGTAACAGGCTGGCGGAACTCCGAGAAGACGCTGATAACAGATGGGAATGAACGGGTGGTGCTCTGCCGATCTGATGCTGGAGTTGGTAATAAAATAGCGCATTGCAGTCGTTGTCGTGTCGTCTAAAGAACACGTGGAAACCGTGAAAAAATCGGCGGGAACTGTGATGACAAGTAAGACAGCAGGTAATGAACGAGTGGTGCCATAGTGCTCTGCTCTCTTTCTATCGTGCGTATTTGAAGAAGAGAGTGAAGTTGAGAGCCTAGCCCCCGCACGCCCAGCAGGTCACGCTACGTGAAGTTTGTTGAATACACCTGCCTAGCAACGCGCTCGAACAAACACACATTCGTGACCAACAACCAACAGAAACAGAGTTGTCAACCAACCAGCATGTCAACACCCACGTTACAAAACAGTTAAAAACCTTGAAATTTCCATAAACAACGTTACATATGAAGACATTCATGAGTCATCAATAGTATTAAACCTGGTGTCACTAATGATGTAAAAAGGGCGTCAACTGAAAATGGTGCCATTCGTACTAATGACGTAGTATTGAACAACGAATGATATGAAACCGAGCGATGACAGACCTGAACTGCAGATGATGCCCTTTCGACGTTGCATTGTTAAATTTTGCAAGGTTTTTTACCACCACTGAGTCATGAATGATACTCAAAACATTTTGGTGCCATTCGCATGACTGGCAAACGAGTGACGCAGTCTTGAACGTCGAATGATGTGAAACCATGCGAGTACAGACCTGGATTGCAGATGATGCCGTCCCAAACGCTGCGTTGTTGGTTTTTGCAAGGTTTCCTCACACCACTGAGTCATGAATGATATTAGAAGGGTTTCAAATCATTTTGGTGCCATTCGCATGACTGGCGAACGAGTGACGCAGTTTTGAACGTCGAATGATGTGAAACCATGCGAGTACAGACCTGGACTGCAGATGATGCTGTCCCAAACGCTGCTTTGTTGGTTTTTGCAAGGTTTCCTCACACCACTGAGTCATGAATGGTATTAGAAGGGTTTCAAATCATTTTGGTGCCATTCGCATGACTGACGAACGAGTGACGCAGTTTTGAACGTCGAATGATGTGAAACCATGCGAGTACAGACCTGGACTGCAGATGATGCTGTCCCAAACGCTGCTTTGTTGGTTTTTGCAAGGTTTCCTCACACCACTGAGTCATGAATGGTATTAGAAGGGTTTCAAATCATTTTGGTGCCATTCGCATGACTGACGAACGAGTGACGCAGTTTTGAACGTCGAATGATGTGAAACCATGCGAGTACAGACCTGGACTGCAGATGATGCTGTCCCAAACACTGCTGTGTTGGTTTTTGCAAGGTTTCCTCACACCACTGAGTCATGAATGGTATTAGAAGGGTTTCAAATCATTTTGGTGCCGTTCGCATGACTGACGAACGGGTGACGCAGATTTGAACGTCGAATGATATGAAACCATGCGAGTACAGACCTGGACTGCAGATGATGCTGTCCCAAACGCTGCTTTGTTGGTTTTTGCAAGGTTTCCTCACACCACTGAGTCATGAATGATATTAAAAGGGTGTGAAATCATTTTGGTGCCATTCGCATGACTGGCGAACGAGTGACGCGGTTTTGAACGTAGAATGATATGAAAACGAGCGATGACAGACCTGGACTGCAGATGATGCCCTTTCAAAGTTGCATTGTTAAATTTTGCAAGATTCTTTCACACCACTGAGTCATGAATGATATTAGAAGGGTTTCAAATCATTTTGGTGCCATTCGCATGACTGGCGAACGAGTGACGCAGTTTTGAATGTCGAATGATGTGAAACCATGCGAGTACAGACCTGGACTGCAGATGATGCCGTTCCAAACGCTGCGTTGTTCATTTTTGCAAGGTTTCCTCACACCACTGAGTCATAAATGATATTAGAAGGGTGTCAAATCATTTCGTTGCCATTCGCATGACTGACAAACGAGTGATGCTGTTTTGTACGTCGAATTATTTGAAACCGTGCGAGTATAGACCTGGATTGTAGATTATGCCATTTCGACGATGTGTTTTTTGAGTTGCATTGTTTTTTCTTAGAACCTGAGTCCTTTATAGTGCAAGCTGTTCGTCACCGCCAATTAGTTTTCATTCTCAAAATGTTATGGTTTTCAACTGGAGCTTTTGAGGGAATGTTTATCGTTTTCTATATACAAAACTAAAATGGTATGTTCTTAAAACCATTCTGAACCTAGATCGAGGTTTAGACAAAACGATAGACTTCCTGATGTCATCCGAGTTTAACACGAGAGGTTCATGAACTCAACCTCAGCGGTTGGATGTGCTGAGGGTTTCGTTATCGAGGGCTAGGAGAGCTTCACGCGAACCCTGGAACAACCCTGGGTGTTGTTCCTTGTCCATCTCCTTGCTCGACGTTTTCCAAGCCTTGGCCATGCTCTATCTGCTCTGTTCGACTGTTTGAATTTTGAGATTTTGAACTTGAGATCTCTGTACCAACCCTAGCCCACGACCACAGCGACTCAACTCACCTTACACCATGCCTTGCGTTCGGTACCAACCCTGGCCGACCACCACAGCCACTTACCCCAGATATCTGCCAGGCCTAGCGTCCAGTTCTCAGCTGATTAGGGGAGCGTCACCTGCTGTCAACGCGTTACCATACCTTACCTCCCTCCCAAGCCTGCTTCAGTGACACAGTCATTACCACAGACTGCGACCAGGCCTAGCGTCCAGTTCTTAGCTTTGCTATGGAGCGTCACTTGCTGTAGGCGCGTTTCCTACTGCCTCCATTCCCAAGCCTGATTCAGTGACGAGTCTTACTTTGCACCGTCTAACTTGGAGTCACGGTATTTTCGTAGTATATTATGGCGGGTCCGCTTCATTTTCCGCACAAACTTACCGAGAATCACTCTTCAAAGCTTCTCTACTACTTCAGCCATGGAACAGTCTAAGGCACCTGCTACCGCCCTAATCTCTTCCATCCGCGGGCGTCGCCGAAATGGCCGGTTTCCTGCGATGCCCGGAACCCAGGCAATTCGTGCTGCTTCGATAGGCCATGCTACCTCTCTCGGTATCAACGTGGCGGCTCGACCATCTTCTTCGGAAAGTGAGTTTTGTGATGTTACTTTTTGCACACCATTTTACGCTCTGTACCATGCTTCCTTATGTTGATTCCGCAAGCCAATGAGAGATGTTGACACATTGTTGCTGGATTTCATTTGTGCAGGTCCTGTTCGGACGCGCTCCTTACACGCTGTGTTTTCCGATGCGGTAGGAAGTCAGCCGCGTCACGAGGAGAATCGGCCGCTCAACACCAGTGGTCATGCTCCACAAATCCCGGCCTCACGTGGTGATACGACTTCCGCTCACGTCAATGGCGTGACAACGCCCTCTGCTCACCATTCTCTGCGTTCCGGAAGTCAGGGCCGGTCGGGTGGGCGGCGAGCAGGTCAGGCGGCCCGCCAGAGTTCCGCCAATGCCGCAGGGCACACGTCTGCTGCCGCTGGCGCAGGCCAGCAGTTCCGCCCAGCTGCACGGAGCAACACCGCCGCTGCTACATCTGGCGGGCTGCTTGGCGAGACTGCTGGGCTGACGTCTTCTGCTGCTGGCGCCGGCCAGCAGTTCCGCCCAGCTGCAGGGAGCAACACCGCCGCTGCTGCATCTGGCGGGCTGCTTGGCGAGACTGCTGGGCTGACGTCTTCTGCTGCTGGCGCCGGCCAGCAGTTCCGCCCAGCTGCAGGGAGCGACACCGCCGCTGCTGTATCTGGCGGGCTGCTTGGTGAGACTGCTGGGCTGACGTCTTCTGCTGCTGGCGCCGGCCAGCAGTTCTGCCCAGCTGCAGGGAGCAACACCGCCGCTGCTGCATCTGGCGGGCTGCTTGGTGAGACTGCTGGGCTGACGTCTTCTGCTGCTGGCGCCGGCCAGCAGTTCCGCCCAGCTGCTGGGACGGCCTCGGCCTACACTGCACCTGGCGGTCAGCTGCGCCAGGCTGCTGGGAGCAGCTCTCCTGACCTTGCATCTGGCGGTTTGTTCCGCCAGCCTGCGGGTCTGACCTCCGGCGACCCTGGACCTGGTGGTCCGTTGGGGCAAGCCGCATTGAACAGCTCTCCTGACCCTGCACCAGGCAGTCCGTTTATCCAGGCCGCTGGGAGGAGCTCTCCTGACCCTGCATCCGGCCGTCGGTTGGGGCACGAGGATGAGAGGAGCTCCGCTGACCCTTCAGCTGGCGGCCAACTGGGACAAGTGGCTGGGTGGAGCTCCGCCAACACTTCTACTGGCGCTGTTTTGGTCCAGGCCGCTGGAAGACCTTCAGCCGACCATGCTCCTGGCGAGATGCGCACGATGGCCGCTGGGCACACTTCCACTGAGACCCATGATGGCAGCATGTTCCCGCCGTCATGCGAACCGGCTCCGGACGCCCATTTCTGCCCGTCTGCTGGCATGACCTCCGCTGACCCTGCTGTTGATGGCGTGTTAGGCCAGGCTGCTTGGAGGACCGACGCCAATCCTGCTGCTGGGGTGCTGCTAAGGCCAACCGCGAGGCGCATCCCCGATGACAGCAACACTGACGGCGTGTTCTCCCCGCCTGGAGGCGCTGAGCTTGGCGGCCACGTTGGCGAGGCCAATGGGAGGACCTGGACCAACTCTGCAGCGGGCGAGCCGCTCGTCCCGAACGCTGGTGGCACCGAGGCCGGTGATGCTGTGGGCGTTCAGACACGAGATGCGTATGGGCGGGCCACTACACACGCTGCTGCTCATGAACTGCACGGGCATGTGGCAGAACCAACCTCTGATGTTGAAGAGACACGTGCCGCACATCGTGCGCTCCAGCGTGAGAACCAGCGGCTGTTAAATGAGCTTGAAGAGCTTAGGCGTTCGCTTTCTCGGTCAACGTCACCTGCTGAGACCTCTGGTGGTGCGGGCGAGCAGCAGGAACCGTCTCCAAACTCTGGGAATGTCGCAGCTAATGTGCAGCCAGGAAGGCATCCCATCGCACCGATCAACGATCGGCTGCTTGGAAGGGCTGTTGGGAACGCTCACGCCCGGGGAACCGAGCATAGCCTGCAGCACTTGACCCCGGAGCAGGAGGTCCTCGCATTCGACCTTGCTGCAGCGATGAGGCGAGTCCCCGAGGTCAACAAAGGGCTTTATGTAAGTATTTTGCATGCTTCCACTCCATCCACATTCTTATATTTTCGCCTCTCATGATTACGCAGGAAGCACTTTCTCAATCTCGTATCTTGGTTCTCAATGTGACACACTATCAACATGCTGCGTGTGTTACTTCCCCTCTATCACCAGGTGGCAATGTTGGATGCGCTCACCGTTCTTTTCTGGGATATGCCAGATGGTAGGATGGACTTCTAGCCATCTCGGAAGGTGCTGCTGGGAGCGCTTGCTGTTGCTTTGAAGTACAAGACGGTTGGTCAGCGGACCGACCTGCTTCATGTGTATCTTTTTGACCCAGTTCGACGTGGCTATATCCGCAACAAGCTGCAGGATGGACAGAATGTCATTCTGCACACCGGTCGATGCGGTATTTACAGAGCGTTTGACTTGTACATTCAACGCCCCAACCAAAACCGCAAGCTCATGGGTTCCACCTTGATCGAGGCGTGGAAAGTGCAATACAAGCCAGGTATGTCTCTGTTGCCCCACTACCTGCAAGGAAATGCTTTTTGATCCCATATCCCTGTGAGCAGCCTGGCTACTGCATGCCTTGTATCGCCAGCTGTAGTCGAGGCTAGGCAATGACCTCACCCCACCCCCCTTCGCTCCACTCCCCTCTCTCTTTCCTTCCCGTCCCCTGCTCAGGTTAAAAATTGCCAACAAAGTGCTAATTGGAGATTCAGGGGAGGGTGCTGAAAGAAACCCTTTTCATCCAACCTCCATCCATCCCCCTCCGGTCCTCTCTCCCCTGCCTTCGCACCCCCATATCCCTGTGAGCAGCCTCCCTGCTGCATGCCTTCTATCGCCAGTAGTAGTCGAGACTAGGCAATCACCTCACCACCCAACCCCCTTCACCACTCCCCTCACTCCTTCCCTTCCCCTGCTCAATCAAGAAAACCGCCTGTAGATTGCTCGCAGGAGATTCAGGAGAGCTTTATGAAAATTAAGTTAAAAACGTTTTTATCACACCCCCTTTACGTCAACTCCCGCTTCCCTTCTCTCTGTCCTGCCTTCTCACTACATATCCCTGTGAGCAGGCCTCGTATTGCATGTCTTTTCCGCCAGCTGTGGTTGAGGCTAGGCAATAACCTTACCCTACCACCCTCCTCTCCACTCCCCTCTCTCCTTCCCGTCCCTCTCAGTGAACTAAGCCGCCAGCAGTGATGCTCACAGAAGATACCAATAAGCATGCTAGAAATTTCGCTCTCATTCCACCTCCTCTCAACACCCGCTTCCCTTCTCTCTCCCCTATAACTCACCCCACATCTCAGCAGCCCCACAGGTGCATGCTTTGTATCGCCATCCGTAGTCGAGGCTAAGCAATCACCTCACCCCAACCCCCTTTACTCCACTCCCCTCTCTCCTTCTCGTCCCTATTCATTGAAAAAAACCGCCAGCATAGTGCTCACAGGCGATTCAGGGGAGGTTGCTGAGGAATTTGTTCTCATCCCCACCTCCTTCTCTCAATTCCCGCTTCCCTTCTCTCTCCCCTATACCTTCTCACCCCATATCTCAGCAGTCCCACTGGTGCATGTCTGGTATCGCCAGCTGTAGTCGAGGCTACACAATCCTCCACCCCACCCTCCTTTACTCCTGTTCCCTCCCTCCTTCCCGTCCTTTAGTGAAAAACCGCCAGCATAGTGCTCACAGGCGATTCAAGGGAGGGTGCTGAAGGCCCTGTTCTCATCCCACCTCCTCTCAATTCCCGCTTCCCTCCTCTCTCCCATGTGGCTTCCCCAAATCCTTGTGAGTAGACTTCCTGTTCCATGCCTTGTATCGCCAGCTGTAGTCGAGGCTAGGCAATAACCTCACCCCACCCCCCTTCACTCACTCCCCTCTCTCCTTCCCTTCCCCTGCTCAGTGACAAAGCCTGGCTACTGCATGCCTTGTATCGCCAGCTGTAGTCGAGGCTAGGCAATCACCTCACCTCACCCCCCTTCGCTCCACTCCCCTCTCTCTTTCCTTCCCGTCCCCTGCTCAGGTTAAAAATTGCCAACAAAGTGCTAATTGGAGATCCAGGGGAGGGTGCTGAAAGAAACCCTTTTCATCCAACCTCCATCCATCCCCCTCCCGTCCTCTCTCCCCTGCCTTCGCACCCCCATATCCCTGTGAGCAGCCTCCCTGCTGCATGCCATCTATCGCCAGCAGTAGTCGAGACTAGGCAATCACCTCACCACCCAACCCCCTTCACCACTCCCCTCACTCCTTCCCTTCCCCTGCTCAATCAAGAAAACCGCCTGTAGATTGCTCGCAGGAGATTCAGGAGAGCTTTATGAAAAATAAAGTTAAAAACGTTTTTATCACACCCCCTTTACGTCAACTCCCGCTTCCCTTCTCTCTGTCCTGCCTTCTCACTACATATCCCTGTGAGCAGGCCTCGTACTGCATGTCTTTTCCGCCAGCTGTGGTTGAGGCTAGGCAATAACCTTACCCTACCACCCTTCTCTCCACTCCCCTCTCTCCTTCCCGTCCCTCTCAGTGAACTAAGCCGCCAGCAGTGATGCTCACAGGAGATACTAATAAGCATGCTAGAAATTTCGCTCTCATTCCACCTCCTCTCAACACCCGCTTCCCTTCTCTCTCCCCTATAACTCACCCCATATCTCAGCAGCCCCACAGGTGCATGATTTGTATCGCCATCCGTAGTCGAGGCTAAGCAATCACCTCACCCCAACCCCCTTTACTCCACTCCCCTCTCTCCTTCTCGTCCCTATTCATTGAAAAAAACCGCCAGCATAGTGCTCACAGGCGATTCAGGGGAGGTTGCTGAGGAATTTGTTCTCATCCCCACATCCTTCTCTCAATTCCCGCTTCCCTTCTCTCTCCCCTATACCTTCTCACTGTTATAGTCACAGTAGGCTCCAATGTGCCTAAAACGAAAGATAGAGTGCACAGTCGGATTTCTGCACAGCGGCTTCAAACGTTCATAGCGTTCTGGTCACAGCTTCAAATGACTTGATTCAACTTGGATCTGGAGCGTCTTATTGTCGCCTACAATATGAAATTTAGATCGCACGATTTCACCAAGTATTGATGACACAGCGTCAGTTTGAACGAACGGCACTATTGCAGCCACTACAGTCTTAGAACACAAGATAGGAAGAGTTAGGAAGAGTTACGAGTTGGGAATGACTCCCAGCTCCTACAAACCCCAAGAGCCGAGGTACAGTGATGTGGAACAGTGCCACACTGTCCCCAACCACGAAGGGTCTCGAAACTACCCTTCACTAGGGCCTACACCAAGTGAAATGTTACACTACACAAAGTAATGTAACTATCTTCAATATCTTGAGGTGTACCCTTTTGGCGAGCTTCGAAATCACTTGAGGCTTGACACCAAGGCTCGGGCTCTTCATCACAAACTCATCCTTGAGTTCTTGATGGGTCTGCTGCACACACCTGCGACACGCCGAACGTTCGACACAGGACAAAATAGAAACCGCGCACGACAAAATAGAAACCGCGCGCGAGACACAAACGACCGCGTAACACGCGTCTAGCGATAACTCGCTATTGACTCGACACACACACTCGACATCATGACTCAACATTCACACACAATTATAAGCATGAAATATATATTATCCCATGCCCTCATACCATTCCATACACACACACATGCACGCACACGGACAACAAGCCGAGTGCAAACCGTAGGGTTGCACCAACAAACTCCCCCTCGGATTGTTGGCCTTAGGATATGATGCTCTCTCAGTTCAGAGCCATCCCAGCCAGCTTGCAACACTTCCAATGCTGCTGCTCCACCAGCCTCTTGGTCATCATGTCAGCCGGCTGCCCCGTGGTCTTCACGTAGCGCAACTCAACTTCACCCGCGGTTACCATGCTCCTCGTCCAATGCCACTTCACCTTCATGTGCTTCGTGAGTCCATGCAACACAGGGTTCTTAGCAAGAGCAATGGCACCCTGGCTGTCACAGTACAGTGGGGTAGGTCCTTGCTGCTCCTCCCCCAATTCAGCCAACAAACGCCGCTGCCACACAATCTCCCGTACGGCACGGAAGAGTGCCATGTACTCGGACTCCACCGAGCTTAAAGCTTGGTCAACCTGCTTCTTGCTCTCCCAAGCAGTTGGGCGTCTACCAACACAGCATATGAAGCCTCCCACAGTTGTCATGTCCTCTGGTTCCGATGCATATGAAGCATCCGAGTAGGCGGTGAGGAACAAACGCCCGGGTTCAACACCATCCGCGCCCTTTTGGCGCCTTTGTGCCGCCGCCGAGTATTGCAGCCCAACGGTCGGTGTTTGGCCAAGATACTTGGCCACCCTCATTCCAGCTGCTACCTGCTCCTCATTAGAGCATTGCACAACCCTAGCCCGGTAGCAAACGCGATGTCCGGTCGGGTGTTTACCGCCGCATACATGAGGCTGCCCACCAACGAGTGAAATCGGCGCCTCTCCTCTTCACCAACGCTCTCCTCCTCTGGCCCCTTCACACACTCGAACCCAGAGGGAAAGGGAGTAGCCACATGACCTTCACTCTGGCCGAAGTTGGCAGCCAACGCCTCCAGGTACTTCCGTTGGTGCACTCGCATGCTCCGCTTCTCCACGTCTCGTTCGATGTGGAGCCCAAGGTAGAAGTTCACGTCACCAAGGGACTTGCACCTGAACTTGTCTTGCAGCTTCAGCATCACCTCCTTCACAAGGTCAGGAGAGGGTGAGAAGATCAGGATGTCGTCCACGTACACCACCATGAAGCTCCTCTGCTCCCCCTCGCCAAGCATGAACAACACTTCGCGCAGCTTCATGTACCATTGCCTAGGGGCCTGCTTCAGCCCATAGAGAGCCTTCTTCAGCTTCCACACTCTGCCACTATCATCATCAAACCCCTCTGGCGGCGCCATAAAAATCTCCTCCTCAAGGATGCCGTTAAGGAATGCCGTTACGATGTTCATTTGTTTTACTACCCATCTTTTGATGGCGGCTCCCGCGAATAGGGTTCGCAGCGTCGTCGGCTTCACCACAGGGGCAAACAGCTCCTTGAAGTCCACCTTCTCCTTCTGCTGGTACCCCTTGGCTACAAGCCTAGACTTGTAGCGCTCGATCTTGCCGTCGGCATCCGACTTGATTTTGAAGAGCCACTTGGACGTTATCGCCGTACGCCCCTCCGGTAGCTCCACCAATTCAAACGTGTCATTCTCCTCGATGCTCTTCAGCTCACTCTCCATGGCCTTCTTCCACTCCTCAGCATCACTACTCTCCAAAGCCTCCTTGAGAGTTGCTGGTTCTCCCGGCATCTCCACCGGAGAGAAGCACGCGAAGGCACACTCCTCGTAGTCACTCTCCTCGTCGTCTCCGACCATCATTGCCGCTCCGGCCAGGGCTGTCTTTCCCTGCTTTCCCGGCGCATCATAGGTCAGCCTATTAGGGGGTTGAACTCTCCTCTTCCCCCTTCCTTCCTCCTCAGCTGAAGGGACTTGAAGGCCTTGGCGTTGCTGCGGTGTGGCTCGAATCCGTGGAGCACTCGTAGTACGGGAAGGGAGTGACGGTGCACGCTCGCTCACTTGCTGCACCTCCTCCTCTTCTTCCTCTGCATCATTGGCCTCCTCTCCCCCATTCACAAGGGAGGATTGCCTTGTGGTTGTGCTGCCGCTGCTCAGCTCCAAAGGCAGCTCCACATGCTCCAAACCGGAACTCTTCACCTCCTCAAACCGCACGCCTATCTTCGCCTCATTCTCCGCCTTCCAATCCTTGTACATGAAGTTCTCCATGAACTTGCAGTCCCTGCTCACCAAGAACTTCTTGGTGAATGGGTCCCAAAGAAGCCATCCCTTGCTGTTTTGAGCCATGTCCAAGTGCACGGCCCACACCGCCTTGGCACCAAGCTTGTTGTGCCGAAGATGCTTAGGCACGAGCGCCATGCACATGCACCCGAACACCCGAAGCATATCCACCTTTGGCTTCCTTCCTAGCCACTCCACATAGGGCACCCATTTGTCTGCTCCCACATGAGTCAAGGCTCTGTTCTTGGCCACACACGCGCTCCGCACCGCATCAGGCCAGAAATAGTCGGGTAGCCCGGCTTCAATGAGCAACCCGCGTGCCGCCTCCGTGATTGTGCGGTTCGCTCGCTCGGCGATGCCGTTCATTGCAGGGGAGTATGGCATGGTGAGGGAGTGCCAAATACCATTCTTCTTCAGCCACAACCCAAAATCCTTGCTTAGGAACTCTCCCCCTCGATCGGTGCGGATTGACTTGACTAGACGGTCTTGTTGCCGCTCCACCATCGGGAACCAATCCGTCTTCAACGTTTCAGCCACGTCGCTCTTCTTGGCCAACACATACACCCAAGTCATGCGGGTGTAGACGTCGACAATGGTGAGAAAATACTCAGCTCCAGCAGCTCCAAGCTTCAGGGGGCCCACCACGTCCATCACCACCTCATCAAGCGGTGCCTTTGCCGTTGCCTCCGAACTAGGGAACGGAAACCGGGTGAACTTGGCTTGAATGCACGTCGGGCAGCCAAGCACCTCATCGGGCTCCCCCTTCACACGTATGCCAGCAACCATCTCATTCTTCACTAGCTGCTGCAAGATGGGCAGGGCCACATGCCCCATGCGCCGATGCAAGGTGAGCCAATCACACTCCCCCGTAGCCGAAGTTGGATTGGAGAATGCCGCGATCGCAATAGCGCCCCACATACTCTCTCCGTAGTCCTCCTCCTCTGCTGCCTCGGGGTTCTCCTCACCCTTTTGCTGCTCCTTGGTTGCTGCACCACTCTCCTTAGGTTCACTGAACTTGCTGGTCCCTCCAGGTTTGCTCTTCTTGAGCTCATTCTCCTTAGCGCGACCGTTCGCGCCATCGTCGCTACCGACCGCTCCATCCTTGGTGCTGATGCTTGCTGCCACTTGCCTCTCCTTAGGCATAGGGACCACTGGGATCTGCCACATCTCGTTGTAGACATCCCTGTCCTCATGAAGGTCCCAAAGAATTCGATCGCCAAGCCTTGCGGTGTAGGTCTTGGCTCCCTTCGAGTTCGTGTCCATGCCGGCTTTTGCCAACCGCCGCACGGAAATCAGGTTTGCAGCAAGGCTGGGCACCCAAAGCACGTTCTTGAGGCCCACCATCTTCCCATCAGCACCCTTGAACATGGCCTTGCCCATGCCTTTCACCTCTGCTCGCTGCCCCAAAGCCGATGTGACATGCTTCACCGGTGACGGCTCGAGTTCGGTGAGCAAGTCCGGGCGAGGTGTCATGCTATAGGTAGCGCCACTATCAATCACCCAATAGTCCAGGGGGTGTAGGGTCACCTTCCCCACAGCTGCTGGCTCCTCAAAGCCTTCATCCTTCTCTGGACCAGCCGGTACTTGCGTCGACACGAAGTAGAATAGACCCGGGTATCGATCGTCGCTCGGGTCCTTGTCGTTGTCTCCGCTCTTCATGTTTGCAGCTCCGCCACCGCGACCGCCACGGCCTCCACGGCCTCGTCCTCTCCCTCCTCCTGCTCCTCTACCATTTTTGCGCTTGAGCAGGGGTCCAACCATCAGGGAGTTTGTAGCAGTCGCGCCACATGTGTCCGCTCTTGTGGCAATAGTGGCACTCGCCGTCGAATCGGCCGCGACCGCGTCCGTAGCTCTTGTCGTCGCTGCCGTAACCGCCACTCCCGCGGCCTCCGCCGAAGTTGCTGCCACCAAACCTTCCTCCCCCTCGTCCTCTGCCTCTTCCTCGACCATATCCACGGCCGATGCTCGCTGCCCCAGCGCCATCCGCACTCGCCAACTCACGGCGGCGGAAATCCTCTTGAAGGATAGCTCGCTTCACGTCTTCAAGCGAGAGGCGGGGCAAGTCGCGATTAAGGTTGATGATGAGCGAGGACCATGACTCAGGGAGTAGGGCCAGTAACTTGGTCTTCTTTTGGAGCTCACTATAGTTCAAATCAGCTCCCTCAAGCCGCGTCAACAAGTCGAAGAATTTCTGCACCCCTTCTTCAACCGCTTCATCCTCTTCAATTCGTAGTGTCGCCATTTGCCGTTCCAACACCACAGCTACCGCCGCTGTTGCAGGAGCGTGTACACTCTTGAGAGCAGCCCATGCCTTTGGTCCCTTCTCTGGTTCACGCTGGAAAGGCTTGATGTGACGGATCTGGCTGCTCCCCAACGCTTGCCCTAGTAGGAGGTAGCCTTGTGCGCTCTTCCGCACCCACGGGCTCTTCTCCGGGTCGTTCTCGGGGCGCTTCTCCGTTCCTTCCATCACCTCCAGCAGGTCATAGTGATCAAACACGTTCTCCATTTTGAAGGACCACTCAGCAAAGTTGTCACCGTTGAACTTGTCAAGGCCAAACACTCTAGGCTCGTCCCTAGATGGGCCAACACTTGGTTGCACGGGCGCCATGGCTGAGTCACGGGGTTGGCCTTGAGCTTGGGCTTCTCCACTGCCACCAGCACCTCTGCCAACCCTTTCCTCAGTTCCAGCAATTGTCGAAACTGCTCCAAGGGGCTCTGATACCACTTGTTATAGTCACAGTAGGCTCCAATGTGCCTAAAACGAAAGATAGAGTGCATTGTCGGATTTCTGCACAGCGGCTTCAAACGTTCATAGCGTTCTGGTCACAGCTTTAAATGACTTGATTCAACTTGGATCTGGAGCGTCTTATTGTCGCCTACAATAGGCAATTTAGATTGCACGATTTCACCAAGTATTGACGACACAGCATCAGTTTGAACGAACGGCACTATTGCAGCCACTACAGTCTTAGAACACAAGATAGGAAGAGTTAGGAAGAGTTACGAGTTGGGAATGACTCCCAGCTCCTACAAACCCCAAGAGCCGAGGTACAGTGATGTGGAACAGTGCCACACTGTCCCCAACCACGAAGGGTCTCGAAACTACCCTTCACTAGGGCCTACACCAAGTGAAATGTTACACTACACAAAGTAATGTAACTATCTTCAATATCTTGAGGTGTACCCTTTTGGCGAGCTTCGAAATCACTTGAGGCTTGACACCAAGGCTCGGGCTCTTCATCACAAACTCATCCTTGAGTTCTTGATGGGTCTGCTGCACACACTTGCGACACGCGGAACGTTCGACACAGGACAAAATAGAAACCGCGCACGACAAAATAGAAACCGCGCGCGAGACACAAACGACCGCGTAACACGCGTCTAGCGATAACTCGCTATTGACTCGACACACACACTCGACATCATGACTCAACATTCACACACAATTATAAGCACGAAATATATATTATCCCATGCCCTCATACCATTCCATACACACACACATGCACGCACACGGACAACAAGCCGAGTGCAAACCGTAGGGTTGCACCAACACTCACCCCATATCTCAGCAGTCCCACTGGTGCATGTCTGGTATCGCCAGCTGTAGTCGAGGCTACGCAATCCTCCACCCCACCCTCCTTTACTCCTGTTCCCTCCCTCCTTCCCGTCCTTCAGTGAAAATCCGCCAGCATAGTGCTCACAGGCGATTCAAGGGAGGGTGCTGAAGACCCTGTTCTCATCCCACCTCCTCTCAATTCCCGCTTCCCTCCTCTCTCCCATGTGGCTTCCCCAAATCCTTGTGAGTAGACTTCCTGTTCCATGCCTTGTATCGCCAGCTGTAGTCAAGGCTAGGCAATAACCTCACCCCACCCCCCTTCACTCACTCCCCTCTCTCCTTCCCTTCCCCTGCTCAGTGAAAAAACCGACAGTTGAATGTGAGTCAGGGGCGCTGGCTGGAAAATGGTTCTCATCCCTCTTCCGTTTACTCAGGTGTTCGTCTTCTCTCCCTATGTTGCTTCTGTTATGCAACACCGTTCTGTTTTGCAATGCCTGAATGTGTGTGCAGTCGATGGGTCTTATGATCTGTACACGTGGCATTGCAACCAGAACGGGGTCCCTTTCTCCAACGCTGTCTTCACGCGCTTGATTGCGGCGTCTTTGCGCCGCGATGGGGAGGATGTCCTTGTGCTGAAGCTCAAACAGATTGCTTTTTGGCTGTATGGGGTGAGTGAGCGTAATGCCTTTTTCTGAATTGAGTGTAACGCATACTAGTTGTAATTCATCAATGCCTTCTTTTGTCCTGCAGGTAGAGCACAAGATCATACATGGGGAAGAATTGCCCCGCAGCACGACAAGGAACAGAGAAGGTGTTGTGCTGTACCACAACAACGTGCGACGTTGGGCGCGAGACGCAGTCGACATGAGCACCAATGCTACGGGTCCCTGGTGGGACACTTCCAACAATGCCTGGCGCTTTTCGCGCTCGGACTGCGGCGTTTTTATTAGCCAGGAGGGTTTGGATGATATTTGAGTATGGCGCGGTGCTTGATGGGTAATAGCAGTTAGAGGAAGGACCTCAATTATTACTGTAGCACTCGTATTGCTGAAAAACGAGTGCATATTAATCTGGAAATATATCAAGATTTATAGTAAATATATAATATATAAAATTGTTTCACGAATTATGATTCACGTGTACACCCAAATAAATTTTGTAAAATGTATTGTTAGTAACAAAGTAACGTAGTAGCGCTGTAACCATTTGTTTATTGATATGCGCATCGGAAAATTGCATTCTACGTTTGAGTGTATGCGTAACTAGAGTCGTAACCAAGTTGACTTCATGTAATCGCCGGATTGATGTCGCAACTAATAAGAATAATCTGTCGCGAACCAATACGATGAAGTTGATGGCGATTGGGCTCACCGCGGTAGCCCATCCCTGCAGACCAAATGACGAGCTCCGATTGGTCAGTTATTTCAAAGTTACGATAAAGCAAGATTTGGGTGGACATGAGATTAACGGCTGAGATTCAACGGTTTAGATTCCGAGAAGTTTCTCTTGAAGCCGAGTCATTTCAAAGTTACGAGAGGGAATGTTGGCCACAATCTTTGGAGTAGGTGTTGGAAAACCTACCGAAATGTTACCCCAAAGTTGCCAGGTGGTAAGAAACGAAACCCCCGCGTTTTGGGATGTGGTTGATTAAGATTAGGACGAGGAAGTATATATACGCGACGTGATGAAACTTTTCAATTAGGTTGCGAGGGAGGAAGGTTAGCAACGTGTATTTACTCGTCCGGATGTGGTTATTAGCCAATCGGCTTCTATGTATCCTCCACCTCGCTAGCAGGCCCTCTCCGCCGTCTGATGCTTCTAGCTCGGCCTCTTGGATCGTACGGTCGGGATCGTCCACGTGAACGATCCGCTGTTGCGGCTTCTCGTGCGCCGTCGTCTGATCTGGAAGTCTTGCGGGCGACGTTTCATTCAAACGCGACGCGCTGTCTGACGATCGCAGAGCGTCTGCGGCGGCTGTTTCTATTGCTACTGTCTCGTCGACAAGAAGGCCTCGATGGCTGAAATACTCGCATGATTCTGTCCATGCTCTGGTGTCTCTGAACGGCGAGCGGGTTCCCACGTGTGCAACTTCAAGGTGGCGATGCGGCTGCTCTTACGTTCCGCAACTTCAATCTTTCAGTGGCCTCGAACGTTTCGATCCGCTCAACATTTCGTGCTACTTAGCAGAACGAAACGAATTGGTCCGAAGATGAGAGCAAGTTTCCTGTGCTGAGCTCACCTCTGCAAACTCTAAAGCTGGACATGCGTTGGCCTGACGTTCAGAACTGTGTGACATGGTAGGGAACCAGTTTATGGCGGCGACATTCCCCAAGTCGATACTATATGTGCCTTGGCGTAGATGTGGACTGTGCCACAATAGGGCTTTGAAGGCTCTGTGGCTGCTGTCCAATAGCGAAGCAGCATGCTGCAAAATGTATAGATGCCATCCATGTGCACGTCAAAGCTCATCGACGGTTCCGATGGTTCTTTATGGGTGAATGGACTGGGACGTTTGTGACGTGACGTCACACTGTCAGACCGCAATTCAGGAAACTTGGAACCTCCGCCGAAAGAACTGAAACAAGCCAACACGCTTAGCGGAGTCAACATACACCTTGTTCTCGATTATTTCACAGGGGTTAAACGCACAGCGCGACTCGGGATCGCCAGCGACCTGACGACCATGCCTAGGTGGCAGCGGTTGGTGGTGTTCCAGCTTCCTTGGAAGCAGGAACGCTTTTCGGACCTAAGTGTGTTGGGGGGGTGAATCGCTTGAGTCCGAAAGCTGAGCAAGGGGAAGGAACTTCTCCTCCCACAAATAAGATGAAGCGTGATTGGTGCAATGTGAGAACGAAACAATTTTTTGAGTGGGGCATTTTCCAGTGAGGATGTCTTGAGTGGGGCATTTTGTTATAGTCACAATAGGCTTGAATGTGCCTAAAACGAAAGATAGAGAGCACAGACGGATTTCTGCACAGCGGCTTCAAACGTTGATAGCGTTCTGCTCACAGCTGCAAATGACTTGATTGAAATTGGATCTGGAGCGTCTTCACTTCGTCTACAATTAGCAATTTAGATTGCACGATTTGATAAAGAATTGACGACACAGCGTCGGTTTGAACGAACGGTACTATGGCAGCCACTATAGTCTTAGAACACAAGATAGGAAGAGTTACGAGTTGAGAATGACTCCCAGCTCCTACAAACCCCAAGAGCCGAGGTACAGTGATGTGGAACAGTGCCACACTGTCCCCAACCACGAAGGGTCTCGAAACTACCCTTCACTAGGGCCTACACTGTTATAGTCACAATAGGCTTGAATGTGCCTAAAACGAAAGATAGAGAGCACAGACGGATTTCTGCACAGCGGCTTCAAACGTTGATAGCGTTCTGCTCACAGCTGCAAATGACTTGATTGAAATTGGATCTGGAGCGTCTTCACTTCGTCTACAATTAGCAATTTAGATTGCACGATTTGATAAAGAATTGACGACACAGCGTCGGTTTGAACGAACGGTACTATGGCAGCCACTATAGTCTTAGAACACAAGATAGGAAGAGTTACGAGTTGGGAATGACTCCCAGCTCCTACAAACCCCAAGAGCCGAGGTACAGTGATGTGGAACAGTGCCACACTGTCCCCAACCACGAAGGGTCTCGAAACTACCCTTCACTAGGGCCTACACCAAGTGAAATGTTACACTACACAAAGTAATGTAACTATCTTCAATATCTTGAGGTGTACCCTTTTGGCAAGCTTCGAAATCACTTGAGGCTTGACACCAAGGCTCGGGCTCTTCATCACAAACTCATCCTTGAGTTCTTGATGGGTCTGCTGCACACACCTGCGACACGCCGAACGTTCGACACAGGACAAAATAGAAACCGCGCACGACAAAATAGAAACCGCGCGCGAGACACAAACGACCGCGTAACACGCGTCTAGCGATAACTCGCTATTGACTCGACACACACACTCGACATCATGACTCAACATTCACAGACAATTATAAGCATGAAATATATATTATCCCATGCCCTCATACCATTCCATACACACACACATTCACGCACACGGACAACAAGCCGAGTGCAAACCGTAGGGTTGCACCAACAAACTCCCCCTCGGATTGTTGGCCTTAGGATATGATGCTCTCTCAGTTCAGAGCCATCCCAGCCAGCTTGCAACACTTCCAATGCTGCTGCTCCACCAGCCTCTTGGTCATCATGTCAGCCGGCTGCCCCGTGGTCTTCACGTACCGCAACTCAACTTCACCCGCGGTTACCATGCTCCTCGTCCAATGCCACTTCACCTTCATGTGCTTCGTGAGTCCATGCAACACAGGGTTCTTAGCAAGAGCAATGGCACCCTGGCTGTCACAGTACAGTGGGGTAGGTCCTTGCTGCTCCTCCCCCAATTCAGCCAACAAACGCCGCTGCCACACAATCTCCCGTACGGCACGGAAGAGTGCCATGTACTCGGACTCCACCGAGCTTAAAGCTTGGTCAACCTGCTTCTTGCTCTCCCAAGCAGTTGGGCGTCTACCAACACAGCATATGAAGCCTCCCACACTTGTCATGTCCTCTGGTTCCGATGCATATGAAGCATCCGAGTAGGCGGTGAGGAACAAACGCCCGGGTTCAACACCATCCGCGCCCTTTTGGCGCCTTTGTGCCGCCGCCGAGTATTGCAGCCCAACGGTCGGTGTTTGGCCAAGATACTTGGCCACCCTCATTCCAGCTGCTACCTGCTCCTCATTAGGGCATTGCACAACCCTAGCCCGGTAGCAAACGCGATGTCCGGTCGGGTGTTTACCGCCGCATACATGAGGCTGCCCACCAACGAGTGAAATCGGCGCCTCTCCTCTTCTCCAACGCTCTCCTCCTCTGGCCCCTTCACACACTTGAACCCAGAGGGAAAGGGAGTAGCCACATGACCTTCACTCTGGCCGAAGTTGGCAGCCAACGCCTCCAGGTACTTCCGTTGGTGCACTCGCATGCTCCGCTTCTCCACGTCTCGTTCGATGTGGAGCCCAAGGTAGAAGTTCACGTCACCAAGGGACTTGCACCTGAACTTGTCTTGCAGCTTCAGCATCACCTCCTTCACAAGGTCAGGAGAGGGTGAGAAGATCAGGATGTCGTCCACGTACACCACCATGAAGCTCCTCTGCTCCCCCTCGCCAAGCATGAACAACACTTCGCGCAGCTTCATGTACCATTGCCTAGGGGCCTGCTTCAGCCCATAGAGAGCCTTCTTCAGCTTCCACACTCTGCCACTATCATCATCAAACCCCTCTGGCGGCGCCATAAAAATCTCCTCCTCAAGGATGCCGTTAAGGAATGCCGTTACGATGTCCATTTGTTTTACTACCCATCTTTTGATGGCGGCTCCCGCGAATAGGGTTCGCAGCGTCGTCGGCTTCACCACAGGGGCAAACAGCTCCTTGAAGTCCACCTTCTCCTTCTGCTGGTACCCCTTGGCTACAAGCCTAGACTTGTAGCGCTCGATCTTGCCGTCGGCATCCGACTTGATTTTGAAGAGCCACTTGGACGTTATCGCCGTACGCCCCTCCGGTAGCTCCACCAATTCAAACGTGTCATTCTCCTCGATGCTCTTCAGCTCACTCTCCATGGCCTTCTTCCACTCCTCAGCATCACTACTCTCCAA